ATGCCGGGGCGGGCCCGAGGGCCGGGCCGCCGCATATAAAGTTGGCAGCCGGGAGAGCTCTGCCAGCGGCAAACGCTGCCGTGTTCTGCGTTCTTGTCTTCGGCAGCAGCGTTTCCCGGCTGTCCCGCCCGTCCCGAGGCGGTGCGAGGAGAGTTCCGCGGCTTCACCTCTCGGCTGCGGCCACTGCTGCTTCCCTCCAGCACCCCCCGCCTCTAGCGGGGCGCGGAGGCCATGTTCCCGCTGGACTCCACCTGGAATATCTCCTTCGCCGGCTGCGGCTTCCTGGGGGTCTATCACATCGGCGTGGCCAGCTGCCTGCAGGAACATGCCCCGTTCCTGGTCGCCAACGCCAAGAAGGTATACGGCGCCTCGGCCGGGGCGCTCACCGCCACCGCCCTCGTCAGCGGCGCCTGCCTCGGTAAGCGGGGGCCGAGCCCGGCGCTCCTTCGCCTGTTCCCTTCGTTACTGCTAATTTGTTAATTAGAGCAACAGCGAGGGGCTGTGGGTTTATATACGTATGTGCGTGTAAATAGCGCTGCGCCCCCCTCCTCCCGAAGTGCGAGCGGCGCTTTGTTTTTAAGGCCTTTCCCCCAGCCCCGGTCCCTGACGGGTGGCTGAGGTCAGGGAGGCCCCTGATGGTAGGAAGTTAGCACAGGGGTCCTGGTTCTGACACCCACCCGCACTGACCTATCTAATGTGGACTTGTTGGGTTCGGTTTGTGGGTTTGCCTTGCTTGGCTGTGGGTCTGGTGGGGCTCTGGGTGAGGAGAGGAGCCTCGCACCGTGTGGACACCGGCCCTTGCTGGCTGTGAAGTGGCTGGAGATGGAGACATCGAGTTTGCATGTGCAGGTGGGAGCTGGGCAGCATCTCTGAGTGGCACAGCCTTCAGTCTGCATATTTATTTCTGGAGGAGGATTATTTCTTGCCGTCTTGGGCACTGAGGAATTCTCTTGCCCTCTGCAAGAGCTAGATCTCCAGTTTAGGAGATTTTATCTCTGTTTTCAAGTTACAGAATGACCTTAAAAAGTTACCTATGAAGCATACATGTGAACATAGTGTAGTGTGTCCCTGTGGCTGGGGAACAGCTGAACAAAATGGTCTGTGATGCCTCCTGGCTTTTTTGTCGTTTTGCATGTGGAAGGAAGTCAACAAACGTGTTGGGGTCTGTACTTGGAAACATTTATGTTGTGAATAACAACTGCAGAAAAGTTTCTTAAGCTTTAAAGGGGAATGTGGTGTGAGAGAATCAGATACATCTATTTAGTCTCAGAGAATTATGAGCCTCTCTGTGAGCTAAGGGCAGCCAGAGCTGTTTACTGCTTGAGGTTCTCCTTGACAGGTGTTTTTCCACAGCACTCCTTTTTGAGATGTAGCTCTCATGCAGCAAAAGTTAACATTTTCTGTGTAGTTAGGTTTGAAGTTTCCCTTCCTAAGCATTTGTTTACAGAAATCCCCAGTGAAGTGCAGCCATAACTTCTGGAACTCTTAAAAGCTGTTCAGACCCCAATCTGAGATCTCAAAGGCTGTAGTGATGCCCTGGTGCCAACTTTTACTGCGGACAAAGGCTAAAAATCCCTAATCCCTTCTTGTGTAGGGATCCCTTTGTCGGTAGCTGCCAGGGATTTAGTTGTTTAACTGCTGCTGCTTCTGTTGAAGAGTGACTCCCCAATTAGTTCCCTAACTGGGTGATCCCTCTGCCACTCGAAGGTGTGGCACAGGCTGACGGTAGTGCCCAAATCCTTTGCCTTACTCAGATGCCACTCTGAGTGCTGAGCAATCCTGTTATCATGTCTGCTTTGTCCTTGCTATTTATATGTTCAGAGCATCCATGGTGTGCCAGACACTGCCCTGGGGAGGCATCCAGCGTGGTAGAGAACTTTCTGTGAATCAGAATGGTTTTTCCCCACTCCCTGTGAGGTGCAGTGGGAGGCATTATCAAGAGGACTGGGTTAGGGGCCACCTTCTGAGAAGCATTCACCTACCTCCTGAAGGAGGGCAAACCATGCTCTTTAAAGCTAACCAGGGCTTGGGTCTTGGGTGTTCCAGTTCTGTCTTCTATTTGACTTCTCTGGAATTGTTTTCTTCTGACTCACCTGTGTGACTGACATGTATCTTGGGTAGAGAGCAGCTCCAAGGCAACAGAGTTGACTTCTGAAAGTAAAAGCACATGGTGTGCGTGGCAGGGCCGTGGTATCACCGTACCTTGTCCGTGTCACAAACCTCCTGACAGTGCAGCTTCCAGGCAGAGGTCCAGAGGTTAGAATGAAGTCATAGGGATAAAAGAAGACAGGGCAGAAGGTACAGCTAAGCCTGAACTAGGAGAGCAGCTCATTCTCATATAGGCTCTTGTAGGGTCCTGAGTACCTGTGTTTGCTGTGCTGCTGAGAGCAGGTGGTAGCCCATGGGCTTTGAATCCTGTGGCAACTGCTGCTCTGCCCTGTCTGTTGCCCTGTCCATGAAACTGGAATGCTAAAGTGTCTCTTGATGAATGACAAACAGGGGAATTTTGCAGAAGCCTTGCTTATTTGAGTGTGTGCAGATCGTGTATAGTGCCCTCATGCCTGTGAACTCAAGAAGACTCTACTGTGCAGAGACAAATACTTGCAAGGGAGGAGTGGAAAAACCTCTTCCTTGGGGGTTTTCCTTTGAATCCAGTCTTTTGAGACCTTGATCAGAGAGAGCAGAAATCTTCCTTGACTTCAGAAAATAAGATCCCATTTAGTGGTTTCTTTTCCAACTTTTTCCCTCTGGCCTTTGCATCTATTCAGCTTGCCTGTGCACTCATTCTGCCTTCTCTGTTAGTTAAGATCTCCTGTCATCATTTGTGTAGGACAGGAAGGCTTTGCTGTGGGCTGACACTGAACTGAAAGCCCTGACCAAGTGATCTGCAGCCTTTAGAGCACGCTGTGGGCTTCAAAGGCGTGTTTGAGAATAGCAAAGAAAACAACATTGGGTGAACATATTGGGCAGGGCATCTTATATTTATATAAGAGATCAGGAGGTATTTGCAGTCTGATATGACCTTGCCTAGCTCTGGTTAAGCACTTTACCATTAAGTTGGAGGGATCTTGGATTTATTGTTTAAGGTTACAACAGTGATGCTGCCCTGCATCTGAAGTGCTCACTCTCCAGCTTTGAGGTTCTTCTGTTTGCTGGCATGAAAAAGCAGTGCAATTTTTCCACTAGAATAATCTGTATGGCTATCAAGGTGCATTTGTCAGTCTCCTGTGCTTACAAGTTACCTGATTGTGCACAGTGTTATGGCATGAATAGCTTCTTGCTCTAAGGGTATCTTGGGGCTTTCAGAGTCCAGCATGACAGGAAATGCACATTTATATGCCAAGCAAATGAAAAGTTTTCACCAAAAAGTTTCACCAAGTTTTCACTTCACCAAGTGCTGGCATTGCAGTCTTCTCTTTGTGCATACCTCAAATCCTGTAGCTTTTCACAAATCCTAGGTGTGGAGCTTTGAGGATGGTCACCTGTCTGTATATAAATCTGAAAGTCACTGGCCTGGATGAGAAAAACTGGCTTATGAAACATGGTGAGACCATCCTTTTTCAGTCACAAGGAATGCTAAAGTGCAGCTACTGTAGGATTCTTTTATCCCGAATACTGAGTAGGGAAATGTATTTTTGGGAAGGTCTGGAATCATCTCACTTTGGTGAGCAGTATGGGATTTGTTGTGCTGCTTTGGGAGCATAGCAGCCTGAATAAATTATGGGATGTGAAGCTGAAAAGCTGTCTTTGAGCTGATACTAGGGTTCCTCTGACTCCTAGTTAACCAACAGCATCTCAGCTGTCTGTGTGGCATGTGAATGTTGTCCTAGACAGCCCTGTCTGAGGGTGGGTTGGAACTGCTGAATTTCTTCTATTCTGGGGGAAGGGGGGGGTGGGTTCTGCTGTGAAATGCAAAGCTGGCTGTCAAACGCCATCTGTGGAAGTTAGCTGTTCTCCTAAAGCATGGCAAGGTCGACAGAAAATGAAAAAGCAAGCTGAGAAGATGCTTTTAGTACTAAGAATACAGAAAAGAGGCTGTGTGTCTGCTAGATTGAGTAGCATTGTTTGGGATGCTCTTTGGAGACCACTTAAAGCATTTTTTTATTTAATTATTTTTAATTGCTGTCTTAATCAGGACTCTTTCTCAAGCTTGACATGAGATGAAATAAGCTATTTGACATTTGGGTTTGCTTGTCAGCTGTCACCATGTGACCACCAACAATTGGGATGCTGAACTGTAGAGACATTTTCCATTGGGTAGCAGGAGGAAAAAAAAAATGAAAAAAAGCCCAATGAATAAAACCTCTTGAAACGGAGATAATTAGCAATATCAGCATCTTAAATGTGTTTCTGCAATTTGATTATGTGCATACAAAGGCTTAAGAACTGGTCATGGAGATTTATTTTCTCTGTGTTTGTGTTATCTTAATACCAAATCCCAGATTGACAGAGGGAAATAAACCAGCTTAGAGTCTATAGAATCCTCAGAGCAATGCCAGTTTATGCTGGCCGAGGCATGAATCAGGATGCTTATCCTAGGGAAAGTATATATGATGAAGTTTTGTAGCACCTGTGATGTCTCAGTAGTCATGTCCCTCCTTGCACAGGAGATGGTCACTTGTACCTCCTGCAGAGGCCTTCCCTGGAGAAAGAGTTGAGGTCAATAGCCCCAGCTCAGGAGGGAGAGACACCTTTATGTACATAAATGGATATAATTCATGGGGAACCTTCTGGTGCTTCTTGGAAATGGTAAATAATTTTTTTTCTGTGGTGGAAATAGAGGTGCAGGGGATATGTTCTGTGCTGACATAGTCGGAAATGTTCACTGGCTTGGTGGAGAAGCTGCCGAGTCTGGATCAGTGCCCTCAGCAGTCACAGGGCTCTAGGATCAGGTGTCCAGAGGAGTAAGCTGGCAGCCAGAGCACCCTGCAGTACCTTTTGATGGGAGGGAAGGAGCTTGTTCCTGCTGTCTGTCTGGCTCTAATAAGAAAACTTCTGTAAGGAAAGGTGCTTTTGCAGGTGTCTTGGATGAGTGCAAGGGAAGGAAAGGAGCCACTTCTAGCAAAAAACAGTCCTAGCAAGGCATGTGTTTATTCTTTTGGCACTCCACATAGACAGCAGGTGTGCAGAGCAGCTTGGTGCCCAGCCTTGCTGTCAGCCATGGCAGCAGCTGTGCAGTGTCTCTGGCAACAGCACAAGAGGTCTTTGGTCATTCTTCTGATACGTAGGTTCAGCACATCTCTGTAACTTGCAGCATGTCTGAGCTGTTCCACTTCTCTCTGCCTCTTACCTCCCCAAACTCTTCAAGGCAACTGCAAGTCCTCCATGTAAAATAGGAGAAGCTGTTGTATGTACTTCAGGGTTCTATGCCCACTTACTGATTATGGTGGGAAGTTCAGTCCTGATAAATCAAAATAC